AATCCTTGGCAGCAACTGCAGGAGGCAGATTCTCCTCAAACGTGATTTTTCTTCTCTAATACCATCGATGGGAGGCTCTACCTTTGATATTATTCCATGTCATCTGAGATTCTTTATCTATTTTCAAAAGATTCAAGTCAGCAATGAATTGTGAATTACGAATTTTAAAAGTCCCTGTGTGAAAAAGGGCAGGGAATCTGACAAGTCAGTTTGACAGGAAAGATCACCACTCTGGCTTTAGAGTTACTGAAACGACACCATGTCGGAGGAGACGGTGTTTGTGGAATTATGTGTTCCTTACAATCAAATCAATGAAATACCACATTCTCTATCTGCCAGTTGGCACTCATCTAGTCAGGATGCAGCTTGATAAAGAAAATGCCTTCCCAAGGACCACCAACTGTGGATGATGCTATGAAGTATCTTTATTTGGTCTATGTTTTGTGTCACCCAAAGAGCTTGGTTTCCTATAAACCACGAAAGGCAAGATTAAATGTAGCCTAGTACCCAGTGTTATCAGATGGTGTTCTGTCTAAAGTACAAGTTCTGCCAAGACTCCTCCGAAAAGCCGTACATGGTACAACTCTCCTCTCCCATCCTCATTCAAATGATGTTTTAATGGACAATAAACAGCAAGACTTATAAACAAGCAGAAAGGAGGAGTTGGAGATGTTCGGAGGCATATACAGATGGATAGTTTTATATTCTGCAAGTAGAACTGCACCCAAAATCCAATTTTAGCAATTAGTCCACAGTAAGAGTTAGAAACAACCTTCAGAAGAGTAAAGAGGAGAGAGGAAGGCAGAAATTAACTGCTTTTTTGATGCATCTGTGGATGTCATGGGCCTTCTTCTTGAAATTTTTTAATTTATACCATTGTCCTGCGGCTAGATCTGACCCTCTTGAGCCAGTCTTCAGTGTACACACTCTCTTCTTCTCCATTCCTAGATGTTGAAAGTGAACTTCGGGACGATGGAAAAGCTTTCCTTTAGTCTAATGCTACAAAAGTAGCAAACATTTTCCAATATTTACCATGTTCTTTGCATACTATGAAGAAGGGAAATTTTTTAAATAAAATGTCCCCATATATAAGTAGGCTCAGAACTTCTACTCAAACACTAACAGCTCCCAATATCACCATCCACTTTTTTCATTGCCATCCGTTTTCTTTTTTTTAGAATGGGAGTTTCTTTTTTCCCAGCTTTATTGAAGCATAATAGACAATTAGTTGCTCATACATTGTACGATTCAATGTTTTTTCGATTATACTTGTCATACAATACTATACTCATTTCAGTTGTACAGCATGTTGATTAGAGATCTATATAACTCATGAAGTGGTCACCCCACAGAATCAGGTACCCCTCTTCCCCCTTAGATACTGTTTACAATGTTGTTGACTATTTTCCGTATGCTGTACTTTATATCTCCACAACTACTTTGTATCTATCCATTTGTACTTAATTACTTTGCCCTTTTTTTGTCTTCCCCCCTAACCCCCCACCCATCTAGTAGTTCTCAAAATATTCTCTGCATCTGAGTTTATTTCCATTTTTGTTATTTTCTTCTTTAGACTCCACATGTATGTGAAATCATGTGGCATTTGTTTTTATCTGACTTACTTCATTCAGCACAATACCCTCTAGGTCCATCGAGGCAATATTTTTCCCATCCCCTTCCTTTTAGTCTGTGTGTGTCTTTTAATCTGAAGTGAGTCTCTTGTAAGCAGCATATGTAGGGGTCTTGTTTTCTTATCCATTCACCTGCCCTATCTTTAATTGGAGTACCTAACATTTTTCCATTTGAGGTACTCGTTGATAGGAATGGAGTTATTACCATTCTTTATTCATGATTTTGATAAGTTTTTTCTTCTTAAAGAAGTCTCTCCAACATTTCCTGTAATACTGGCTTGGTGTTGATGAATTCCTGTAGCTTATTTTTGTCTGGGAAGCTCTTTATCTGTCCTGCAACTCTAAATGATAGTTTTGCTGGATACAGTATTCTTAGTTGTAGATCCTGGGTTTTCAACACTTTGAATATTTTGTGCCAAGCCCTTCTGTCTTGCAAAGCTTCTTTTGAGAAATCGGCTGCCAGTCTTATGGGAGCTCCCTTGTAGGTAACTAAGTGGTTTTCTCTTGCTGCTTTTAAGATTCTTTGTATTTAACATTTGGCATTTTAATTATGATGTGTTATAGTGTGGGCCTCTTTAGGTTCATTTTTTGGGGACTCTCTGAGCTTCTTGGTGTTGTATGTCTATTTCCTTCACAAAGTTAGAGAAGTTTTCCATTATTATTTCTTCAAATATATATTCAACTTCTTGTTTGCCCTCTTTGAGTACCTCTATGACACAAATGTTGTTGCCCTTGTGTCCCATAGGCTCCTTAAATTATTATATTCTTGGTTACTTTTTTCCTGCCATTCTGATTGGATGTCCTTGGCTTCCCCATCCTCTATGTCAGTGGTTCAATCCTCTTCTTTATCCACTTGGTTGATTCTCTCTAATACTCTTCATCACAAATCATGTATTCTTCATTTTTCACTGGTTCCCTTTTATAATTTCCATTTTTATTTCCTGTTAAAGTTATCAGTGAGTTCACCTACACTTCCCTTAATTTCACTGAGCATCTTTATAACCAGTGTTTTGAACTCTGCATCTGTTAGACAGCTTGACTCCATTTTTCCTGGATCTCTGTTCTGTTCTCTCATATGGTTTCTGCTTCTTTGTCTTCCAATTTTGGCTGCCTTTCTATGTCTGTTTCTATGTAGTAATCAAAGCTCCTAAGTCTCCCAGTATTATTAGCATGGCTTTGTGTAGTAGGTGTCCAGTGGCACAGTCCTGAGAAGGATTCAGCTGCAGGCCAAATTTAGCCCAAGCCACTGCCCCTCGGGGGCTACCTGTTAAGATTCAGCAAGCAATCCACAGATGCTGTGCTTATAGTTACCTCAGAAGGCCACACTAGACACCGA